AATAGAGGTGGACGCTTTTTAGTGTCGGAACAAAATATGCTGTTGTCATGCTGTTTTTTCATGCACCATCACGTTGGAGACGCCGCATATTAAACAGAATAATTCCCTGTGATTTGTCTTAGGGAGATGAACGAGCACAGCGCAGGATTAGGCGCAACTTTCACTAAACATTTAAAAATATAGATATATATACATCTCATCCAAGGAGCTGAGTGTCAAAGACAAAAATAAGTAGCTAAATAAATAATACAAATATCTATTTTCTTTTTAAACCAACCGCGAGCTGTTGCAATACGCACCGGATGAAGCCAGTGATGGATGGAGCCAAGGCGAGAGGACGCAGACGAGCGAAGTGGCGAGAAATATCAAATGCATGATTCATATTTGATTGCTGAAATAACCCAATATCATCATCACAACGACGCTGTTAATCGCTGGGGGCCCATCATCGTGGCGCGGGAAGGGGGACAGGCCGTGCGGAGGGGGGGGTCTTTCTTCATGGATCCATCCAGGAGACACCGGGCTCTGCTGCTGCAGCAGTGGCTGAGGAGGATGAACAAGGGGAGGAGGGAGGAGAGGCGGAGGAGGAGGGAGCCGAAAGAAGGCGGTGGCCAGGCGCACCGTGGGTTGATGTAGCCTACTGGAAGTCAGGCAGCAGCAGCAGCAGCAGCAGCAGACTGCTCCTCAGCGTGGCCAGTGATGCCCTTCACACTGACAGGCAGAGAGGCAAACAGAGGCACGGAGTGACGGCAACATAAAGTTAAAACCCGGTAAAAAATTAAAAATTAAAAATTAAAAAGCGAGAGAAAGAGAGAGAGAGAGAGAGAGAGAGAGAGAGAGAGAGAGAGAGAGAGAGAGAGAGAGAGAAAGAGAGACGTTGCATACACGTGAGGAAGCTAAAATTTATTTTATAAAAAAAAAAAAACCGTGAAAATTCCAATACAGTGAATGTAACAGAAGCATTTCTGCAATTTATTTATTTTTTTCTAGAGGTAGTAAGTGACAAGGGACTCAATATGTAATTTCATGCACAAAAGTGGTGATGCTAAGCAGAGGACACTCTTCAAGATAAGAAGGGATAGAAAACATGGAATTCCAGTGGCTTCGGTGGTGCTTGTATCCATGAGTCACAAAATGGCTTCATGAAAATTGCTATGTGTTGTAATCCAGGACATAAATTACAGACGGTTTTGTTGCCTCAGAGAAACAATGACTCAACATGTTCGTCATATTCTGGTGTCTTGTTTTTAAAGTTAGATGTTTACAGACACTGTGCTCGCCTTTAAGCAGCGTGGAAAGCTCATGTGATGATTCTTCTGATTGGTTGGTGTTTTCACATTAGCATTAAACAGAGATACAGCTGACATCAGGGGGAAAATGAAAGGAAGTCTGGTCTTCATAAGTCTCTCTGCAACTTGATAAGACTTGGCACCAACATCCCCAAAACAACTCAAACTGCAGTTTTGATCTAACTGCAGTGGACTGATTGAGATAAATAGAAAACAAAATTACATTAGTGGTGTATAGGAAAAATGGCTGATTTTGGATCAAGTAGAAATCTCTTGAGACATAACGGTAGCACTTAATCGTCAGGTAAAGATCCATCCATCGAGGTTGGTGTGACTTTCCACCTTTAAGGTCTTGACCAAAAGGCCCCAGGTCTGATTTAACAGTCTTAACATAAATATCTAGTTGTGTTTTAGCACAGAAACTCAAGATTGAGGATCAGGATTGTGAAATGTACAAGCTGAAAAAATTTATTCTTTTCTAGGAAGCTTGGAAAGGGAAGAAATTTAAGCAAAATTCAGTGCTCTGCCAAATTTCCTAAGAGTGTATGAAAGTATAAACTCATCAAGTTATGTTTATACTTTCACAAACTTATGTTTATACTTTCTATGTTTTTTTTGTACTTTCACAAGTCAAGAATGTTTCATCAGAAAACATTTAAAGGCATTTTAAAAGGATGAGAAAGAACAGAATCTGTGGGAAACACACACACTCTTCCTCTACTATGAAACTGCTATGAAAACCTACTGTGACAAAAAGTGAAAAAACATTATGTGGAAATGTTGAAACAACTTATCATGACTAAGCCTGAAATTTGACACTTGGAGACAAATGTGTCATCCAGTTGGAAAATGACATTGTGAACGTCACCAAATGAATTACTATGTGGCTTAAAAACAACAGCATTGATGTTTTTGATCTGCCTGTTCTGTATTTGTACTGGAAATAATTATTCTTAGAAAGAAAGGACACACATAATAAAGAAACAATGAGGATGTTTATTACCAGAAACAGGGGAAGTCTCACAAAATTTAAAAGCTCTGATATTATTTTGATATTTTTTTGTGGTTTTTTTACGTTTTAACATACAAAACTGTTAAGTAAAATTATGAGGCAATGAAATGTGTTTAAAAGCCAATTATTTTGTTTATTAGGGGAAATTTGGAAAGACCAATTAACCTAACAATCATGTTTTTGGATTGTGAGAGGAAGCCTAAGTACCTGGAGAGAACCCATTCATGTACAATATGCAAACTCCGTACAGAAAGACCCCGGGCCGGGAATCAAACCCAGGACCTTCTTGCTGCAAGGCAACAGTGCTACCAACTGCACTGCACCACTGCGCAACCCCACTTCCCTTCCACATTACAATTATGCACCATTTTCTGAGTCAAACTCAAAATCCAAATAAAATACATTGAACTAGTGTGGGTGGAACATGGAAAAATCGTATAATAGTTTATGAGCTGTAACCCACTCCAAGAAGCATAATGGCTATGCAGGATTTGAGCCTGTGAATAGTGTCCAGGATATCCTCTCAAAGATGTAAGAAAATCTTAATGATTTGGAATCAAGCAGAAATCTCTTCAAACACAATTGCAGCACTTCATCAAGTAAAGATCCATTCATCAAAACTGGAGTGGCTTAAAGGGCTCCACAGAAAGACCCCAGGTCTGATTTAACAGGCTTAACACAAGAATCTAGATGAGTTTTAGCACTAAACGTCAAGATTGAGGAAGGCTGGCAAATGTTAGGGGAACATTATTTGGCCAGATAACTGCTGTTTGTACTGATTTCAAGAATCATTACCTTGGCAGCAAAAAGCAAACGTACAAACTGAAATAATGCATCCTTATCTCACAAGCTTGCAAAGGGAAATTAAACAAATCCCACTGCTTTGGCAATGTTAACCTTAAAGGGAAAATAGTCTAATCAGGCCAAGAATGTGTAACCAGCAAAAATTTTAGGGAATGAAAAAAACAATCAAGTGGAAAAACACATAACTTGTGGGAAAGAGCCTCAGTTATCTTGGACCACTGTGGCACTTCTGCAGAAACGTTACAAGCGATTGTTCATTTTGTGCATATCTCACTGAGAGAAAGTTCTTTTCTCCCCTGTTTTTTCTGCCTCGCTCTATGTAGACAGGCTGATGTTCAACACAATGCGAGTGCTTCGTTTTTAAGCTTCCTGTGATGTTCAGTCAAATTCACCACTGAAATCACACAGACATGCAGAGGATGACGTAAAAGGCCGAATCAGTGTGTGAGATCTGTTGTGTAATGTCTTTGTGGAGAAAATGACCCCTCATCACCATTATCTATGCTTCTTTGGAAGCCGGAGTTTGGGTGTGCACCAAGGAAGGTCATTAAAGACATGCACAATGGATCTGTGATGAATACAAGAGCTGTAGGACTTTTTGTAATTCTCTAAACAAATGAGTATGTAAGTTTAGCCCAGTTTATAACATCTGTAGCTCTCATGAACTCATTTTGCAGACATATTCACTGGTTAGCAACTGTATTTATAACTTAACTTTCCTGACATGTTTTCACATTGCAGCCACAGACTTTAAAGTGTGTTTATTAGGACTTTGGGTGATAGATCAAAACTAAATGGTGCATGATTAAGAAAATTGAGAAAAACCAAATGTTGTGTCAACAACTTTTTTTAAAAATGTATTTTACAAATGAAAATCTGGAAAGTGTGGCATGCATTTGTATTCAGCCTTTTCTGAGACAATACTGAGTAGAACCAGCTTTCATTGCAGCTGCAGGACTTTTGGAAATTTCTCACTATATTTTCAAGACTTACCAAAGATTCTGAATTTTGGGTGTGGACTTTGATATTTGGATCTGAACCATTCCATTGGAGCTCCATCTTTATATTTATGATGCATCAATGATTAATTGAATCATCAATGAATCATTGATGAATCATTGATGCACATTTCAAGAAATTTTGGTGGGCCTGCCTCTCCTATTCCATGTGACATAGAATTTTAGGAGCCATTAGGATTTGAGTTTTTTTTCTTGCAAACTTCAACTTAAGTTGTAAATTGTGAAACTCAACTTTTTAAAAATAATAAATAACGCATTTTGTGGCAGTATGTATAATTTAACAAGAGGCAATTACTTTTCAAATAGAATCAGACACGTTTGGAAAGCTTGCTTCAAAGAATTAGATCATCATCAAATGTTTTCTTTGATGATCTGAAACGTTTGGCATGGCAACAAAAGAATAAATCCGTGAAGGAGCAATACACAGCACTGCCTGTCAGGGTTGATGGATTCAAAAGAATAACGACCAATATAATTAGGCTATTCTGTCACAAACTTGTTATCCCAATAGGCATTCAGAAGGAGCAGGTTGTGGGGGGAAAAGAAAGAAAAAAGCCATCCAGAGGGAGAAACAGACAGCAGTCGATACACAATTGACTGGGCGCTCTGTCTAAGAGACACAAAATATGCGAAAACAATAGAAACAGATGAATTTTGAAAAACCCTCCTGGGTTCTTCCCCGAGTGGAAAAGTGTGCGTTCATTATTTACTCTGCAGATGTACAGAGAGAGAGAGAGAGAGAGAGAGAGAGAGAGAGAGAGAGAGAGAGAGAGAGAGAGAGAGAGAGAGAGAGAAACGTGCACGCAGCCGAGCTGAATGAAAGCCGCCTTCATTCCGTGCGGCTGACCAATAACTTTTCTTCTTTGTGTGAAGTTCGCCTTTTGGTTTTTTTTTATATATGTTGGACGCGTCAGTCTGGGCCGGCAGAGGGCTGGGAAGGAGTCGCGCCCACCTCTCGTCGCAGTCCCCAGCGGCCGACTTTGGTTTGGAGGGGCTCCACAAAATACTTCACATGCAGTCGGAAAGGAGTTTGTGAAACCGACCAAAAAACAAAAAAAAAAAAAAAAAAAAAAAAAAAACGAGGCTCGGCTATAGACAAAAAGCTCAAAAGAGGAAAAGAAGACGGAGAGAGTCGCCGGAGATCTGATTCTAAAACAGCCAGGAAAAACGGGGAAATCTTTTAGGGTAAGCGATGCAAAGAGTCGGCTTGAAGTCCCAGAGAAAAGCTCTGCTTTTAGACTGTCGACAGTGTTTATGTGGCTGTTACTGCCCCGGCAGAGCAGCACGTTACCGAATATTAGGCTTCAGATCAGCACCTCTTTTGACTGAGATTCATCTGAACATGCAAAGACTGCCTTGCTAATGTTGTATTTTCTTATTTTTTTAATGGAATATTTTTCAGAAAATGTGCATATCTGGCAACTTATTACAATTATTTAATCTTATTTAAAAGACATTTATTTGCTAATTCTTCCATTGTCACGTCTAATATCCAATTAGACGGCATATATATATATATATATATATATATATATATATATATATATATATATATATATATATATATATATATATATATATATAACATTAAATATAATACACAAATTACATTAAATAAATGAATTAATTAGTCAATTAATTAATTCATTCATTCATAATGAATGAACAAGCATACTAATTTAGGACCTTACAAAATAGTTATTTTCTCAGAGACATGTTTATAGGTGTGGCCAGACACATTTTTCTGGGGTTGTCTTTCATTTTTTTATAACATTGTAAGAAACTCTGACTGCTCCTCTGGAAAAGGCTTGTATTTTAATATTGAAAAGACATTCACCAATGTTTCTGTCTACTATTGGAGAAAAAAAAAAGCAAAAAAAAAAAAAAAAAAAAAAACATCCCCCACAGCATGATGCTTCCACTGCCTTGAATCACTGTCCATCACAGATAATACTTTTCTTCAATGAAAATGCATAAATATCAGCCAGTCTGTTGCTTTTGTTCAGATCTTGTGGCTTCATGTCTAGCATTGCTACTTTTCATGAATTAAAGCTGATTTAATAAGTTCTGCAGCCACAAAAACATGTCACATACACTTGAAATGTTTGTAGAGGAATAGAGAAAATAAGTTGTGATTTTAACTTGTTTAGTTATCAGTATAAATGAGTTGTTATCATACTCAACTAACATACTCATAAATATTTCTGTTGAAGAACTGTGTGATTCTTCAACAGTTTTACTTTTGACAAGCAAAATGAATTGCCACATTATTTGTTAAATAAGATAAGACTTTACAGAAATGAGGAATTCTCATTTCTTTATCAGGGCTTCTCCAGCCTTGATGGTTATACCAACAGCTGCGTTTCAAAAAACCTTTCACCCAGATTTATTAAGGACACGAAAGAGTAAAAACATCTGGTTATCTCCCTCCCCGATTCAGAAATATTACATTAAGTCTGGAACAAAGTGGTGTTTCCATGTTCCTCCCTGTTCTCCTCCACAAATAAGAGAGAGAAAAAAAGAGGAAATCACATTTTTTCTATGTGTGTCTCAATCATGTGGCATCGCACTGTCTCTCCACATTAATGAAGTAAATTGAAGTTGACAGGATGTTCTTTGACACACCCAGCAGCAACTTCAGTCCAGGAACTAACTGACAAGAAAGGATGGCTGAAGAAAGGAAACGAGAGCAGTAAAAAAAACAGCATTTTGGGCAAATTTCTACTTCCACTCATTCAAAACTTTAAGTTGCCATTTTGCAATCACCTCTAAACTTTAGCCTTGCACCCTTTACCTACTTCTTTGTCCTAATCCTTGTTTGGCTCAATTTCTTTTTTGTAAAATATGAATGATTATGATCCCTAATCAATCAAAAATCTAAGTGACTGTGGACTAAAAGCAGTTTATAGAAAATGACATTAACTCTTAATGCTTGAACTACAACATTAGTGGGGATTTTTTTCCTCCTGTGCAGTTTAACTTTTTGACCCTCATTCGTCTCTTTATCTTTATTCATCACACCTACCAGCTCTATACTTCAACTGTTGTATGGTGTCTTTTAATTTTAAATCAATTGTTGAAATGTTATCAGTTGTGCATGATGTCCATTTTTGCAGAGAAATTACAAACCTTTTGTGAGTTTACTTTTGTTTCCAAGTGAGGGATAGTGTATGAAGAAACAAAGTAAAGTCCAATAAAGGGACTTATGTTTAAGTATAGCAGCAAAACCCACACTCATACAAGATAACAGCTCTTGCAGCAGATGGCATCATTTTCAAACCAAAATGTCTGACCAGTACCAGAGCATGCTTTAAGATAAATATGAAGTCAAGTCATGGATGAATCTTGTCTTTATGTTTTTACTTTCTAACAGATCTACTCCAGCATACAGATCTTATTCCTGAAACCATGGCCAATTCCGCTGAAGATTACGGTAACTACACGTATGAATATGAGGAGTACGGTGATATGGAAGACCTTAAAGTGGATCACAGTCAGACAGAACCTATCCACATCATCTCTATAGTCATCTACATCACTTGCATCACACTTGGCCTGATTGGAAATGGAGCCGTCATTTGGGTGACTGGGTTTAAAAGCAAGAAGACTGTCAACAGTGTGTGGTTGCTCAATCTGGCTATCGCAGACTTTGTGTTTGTGCTTTTTCTCCCCTTTTACATCGACTACATTTTGAAGGACTTCCACTGGAACTTCGGTCTGGCCATGTGTAAAATTAACTCCTTTGTTTCCGTGATGAACATGTATGCGAGTATCCTCTTTCTCACCGTTCTCAGTGTGGACAGGTATGTCTCTCTGGTATACCTGAACTGGTGTCAAAGGTATCGCACAGTAGACAGAGCCTGGCTTGTTTGTGGCTGCATTTGGCTAACAGCTGCCCTCCTGAGCTGCCATGTGCTGGTCTTTCGCGACATTTTACACGTCAGTGGGAAGGTGTTATGCTACACTAACTATCACGTAACAAACCAGCAAACAACAGCTGCTACAATACACACAATATTAGTGTCCGTCCGTTTCACTGTGGGCTTTCTTTTGCCGCTTAGTGCCATAAGCGTGACGGGCATACTTCTGTCAATAAAAGTGAGACAATCCCAGGGTTTGGTTCGCATTTCGAGCTTCTCAAAAACAGTTACAGCTGTTATCCTGGCCTTCTTTTTCTGCTGGGCACCTTTCCATATTTTCGGCTTGATGGAGTTGTTTGTACATCACTCACTTACAATGCACAATATTTTGAGAGCTGGTTTCCCGCTAGCAACCAGCTTAGGCTTTTTCAACAGCTGCATTAACCCGCTACTGTACATGCTGCTTAGCAAGAAGGTGCGCCATATCCTCAAGGACGCGTGTCTGAACATAACCAAGAGTTCCCTGAGAGAACTGAGCCAGTCCATTTCCGCCACAGATGTAGAGACTATGCATGGCATACATCAGGACAGCGTCCCAGACGAGCCAACAGTGTCGTCGACTCTATGAGAGAAGGGTGACTAATCGCTGCTATTCTTTCCAGCCTCAGTGTTTAGATATTCCCATTTTGCTTCATTTTCCACAAAGCTACGCCTGCTTCAAATGAAAATTGCTTTGAGTGGAAAAACTCAACTAAACTGCACTCAGCATGTCATTAAGTAAATCCATTTCCACCTTTTTATCTGCACAGAAAGAGGCCAGATTTACAGCTGCAACTGTTTAAAGGATTTGGAGAAAATGGCAGCACAATTATTCTAATTAATCGTCTATTCACTGCAAGCAACTGACTGCTTTTACTTTTGTAAAAGTATCTGTATATTGACTTTTCACTAAAGGGAAAATCTGGTTGTTGGTGATTTTTGTTCCAGAAATCTTGATCAAAGGTTTCTAACATGTTTTTAAATCTTGTTGCATTTCTATCTGTCTAATTATTCAGAAACGGATAACATTTATTCTACAAAGAATGACATATCAGGCATGTTTTTAATCGTAGTTTGTGGCAAAAGGTTATAGTGTCTCGAAAAAGTATTTATATAAGCTTTTTTTGCAATACAACCACAAACTTCAGTTAATTTTATTGGGATATTATGTGATAGACCAAGTGTCAAGAATCTAAAACCCATTTCCCCTTATTTCCACTGAATACATTTTGTCTTGAGCCAGAAGGACCGATCTGGTCATCAATTGAGCTTGTTTTATCAGAGAATACAATCTTACATCTTTTTAGATTTTAGAATGAAAAACAAACTTTTACAAATGTAAGGACTTTCATTTTCTTGAATTGAAAGTTTCATTTGAGACCCAAAGAGAAATAAAAAGACTACTTTTCAAATAATTATGTTTTGAAAAATCTTGCAGATTAGAACAAAGAAAATGACTAAATTCACAATTTCTATCCCCATATATTTATAAATGGTGATGTTATGTAGAGCCAGGAAGAAGAGGAGCCTTATGTGGCTCCACCCTGAGATTTGATTTCAATCAACTTGAATCTCAACAGAGATTTAAGTTGAAAACCCTTGCAATAGACCAAACCATGTTGAAAGTGTGAACTTCTGAAATGGAAGCTGTTATACATGCATTTATTTATTTTTTTAACATCTTTGTTTTCATGCTCTCTGTGTGAAAGATTAACTGTGCATTCATGCCGATATCCACATGTTTGTTTTGTCCCCTGCAAATCAAGTTTCATCTATAGCATTTATATTTCTAATCCCAATTATGTGCTACATTGTGTAACATTAAAATATAAAATATGACAAGCTTTGTGAAAGTAATGCAAAAATTGTGTAAAAAAATCAAGGTATATGAGTACTTTTGCAAAGCACTTTTATTCAGGTTTTCTCTGACTGTTAGAATTGTATTACCTCATCTATTTAGACGTCTGCTGTATTATTACACAAAGGGCTAAATAAAATAAAATGTTTTATCCAAACATATTTAAAGTAAATCTTACATGATTTAATAAACATGTTCTTCTGAGTGGTGACGTAATTCATTTCAGTGTTTGTTTTGTTCTGACATGAAGAAGTATTGCTTGATGTTTTCAATCAGACTGGATTATCCTGGGGGTCTAACATGTGGTTGAAAGGCCTGCATGAGTGAGAAATGAAGCCAGATGTGCATTTCGTCCACATTTCCTCACCGTCTCTTAAAAATGTAACCATTTCCTGTTTTTCTCCTGTGAGGTTAACCCTGTCTGGTTGCATCACTGGGGTCAGTCCATGTGTATCAATGTGTTCTCTTGAGGGTATCTCTCTGGGAAAACATTGGCTGGAAGCAGACTTTAAAAAGTTGCTTCCTGTTTTTTTTAACTAATACATTTCTCAGATGTCTTGGTTGCAGTCATGGAATACATTTGAGATTAGGAAATGTCCTCTGTTAAATTAATGAAATAAATAATGTTAATGTTTGCACAAATACTCCAAAGCCATCCCTCAATTCTGTATTTTGCTTTAAACCAGAAAGAGATTCTTTTAATCTTTTCATTCTGCTTCCAGGCTTTTCTGGGTGGATTTTAAAGGGTTTCTTTCCTCTGAATCAACCCAACCAATAAAAACCCACAGCAAGGGATGATCATCCAGTTTAATACTGTATTTTATTTATCTTAAAAGTTGGAGCACAGAGTTTGTCACTGCTAGGATCAAAAGTGATCTTTATCTTGAGCTTCCTGAACACCTGGCCAGTGCTGCAGAGTGATTGCCACCAATTCATTTATTGACAAAGAATGTGTGCCTACAAAAAAGTATCTACTTTGAACAGCAGCGTTCAAGTCTGTTCATTTAAAATATAATATGTAACTTAATTTCAAGAAGTTTAGCAGACTGATAATTTTTGGTTTTAATAAGCCCCCTCCTAATGAATCTTCCTCTGGAAACAAAATGCTAGTGGTCAGTTTTCCTCTGTAAAGTCAGACATCGATGAAACAACACAGAATTTTTTTTTTATTCTAACAATGCGTTAAAATATGAATCCTAGTAGTGTATTACTTACCATTGCTACATTTAATTCATTATACTTTGCTCTCCATGAACCTTAATTCAGAGAAACGTACAGAGAAATACTGATTTATAAATAATCCGTTTTATGGGATGAGAGGGACGAGCAAACATTTCTGTTATGACACACTGAACGGTCCTGCGCATCAGACTGTACTCTAATGAATTTCAATTTCACAAGAGAGAAACAACTTTACCCTCTAAAGCAGTCACAGGAAACTCGCCCTCCTTTTTGGGATTATGGTACAGGCTTCAGGATTACTTAATCCGTGACGCAGCAGAATTAGAAGACAGCCCGCAATCTGCGAGGCACGCGGCCCAATGAGAACACTGGCAAGGTGAGTACAATTAGATAAACTTCCTACTGAAATGGTAAACATTAAGAACGTGGGGTTTCTTCAAATGTATAACGCCTTACGGAGGTTCGCGCCGGACAGTTTTAGCAGATGTGACGTTGCACGTGTGTTTGCGACGTTTTACTATCATTTAAAGCGCATTTTACGCAGTTAAAATAAGAAGCATTATGTTGTAGCTGTATTGTTTAGCCCAGTGCATTGCGGACGGGATGAACGTCTTTTGTTTTTTAACGTGGCGCGGCTCGGGTTAGCTTCTTAATGACGGTCCGGTGGATGGCCAACTTTAGCTAGTTTTCCTCTGCGTTTGTTTTGGTAGCCACCCGGAGGCTAATTGAGGTCGGATTGGAGCGTGGTATATTCTGTCTCTCTTTTCAAAGGGTAGATTTGTATTCCCTGATGAGATGCGGTGTTCATTTCTGTGTCTCTTCCAGCATGCTGCGGTTGCCTGTTGTGAATCGCAGTTTCTTTCCAGCAGCTATTATCAGGGGAGGTGCGGCTGCTGCAGCTCACAATGGTAACAATATGCCACTTCATCGAATGACTAATTGATCCTGCCTGGGCTACAGTCGTACAACATGTGTTTTGTGTTCCTGCCTAACAGCCATTTGTCTGCTCTGCTGAGGAAAGAAAATATTTGAATGCTTTGCACCATTAATTAGTTTGCTGGACTTGATGGATTAAAGGCAGGATTATAAACTCACCAGCTACTTCTGTGCGTTAGGTCATGTCACTTTCAGCTCCTCGTCAATAAATTAGAATGTCATCAAAAAGTGAATACATTTCACCAAATCCATATTTTGAAATACTTATTCAATTCTGGACTTTGCTTACATCTAATACGGGCCAAAATTTATTTGATCTCATAATGAGAATATTACATGAAGCCAATATAGAATGCATTTTTATGACAAAAATATTACTATTAGTTGGTCACAGAATGATTGTTAAGCCAGCTGACTTGACAGTTGTCGAGTTCACTGGCGTCTACAAGGGATATTAGTCACAAAAGATTATTACTAAAAGAGATTATTATTCACAAAATATTTTATCTAAGCATATGAATGGAAAGTAAGGTGGAAGGAAAAATTATGGACAATCAGCCTACTACTGACTCCTGCTGCAGAGTATATGTTCAGAGTCTTTGAAATTCAAAAAGATAATTTTACTTGTTATATATATTAAGGCATGCAGATTGATACATGTTACTATTTCATTAAAGAATCATTTTTAAGTAGATGCAATGAAGGTGAGCCAGAATTGGGAATTGATGAAGAAACTACCCGAGTAAATGAATGGAAAGTTTAGTGGAAGAACAGTTTTAAAAATATAGCTTCTTTACCAGTGCATTCTTGAACCCTGGTTAGTTTGCTTAGGATTTCAAATAAAGCAGAATTTCAAAAAGTTGTTTTATTTTACTAATTTGATTAAAAATGGAAATTTATATCTAGCAAGGTTAATATATCTCATGTTTATTTTAATCACGTTTCAGATCAAGGTGAGTAAGCTGCTAAAGGTCATTGCTAAAGAAGCTGGCTTTTCACAGAGCTTTTTATCCCAGCAAATAGGTGGAAATTTTGATGGAATGAAAAATGTGGAAAGACCTTTCAACACTTCTTTTAGGTGACCATTTATGACATTTTTGCTTTCTTTAAGATTACATTTTGACAGAAGCATAAAGTTATAGTTCATTGTACCCATAGATTAACTTTGTGTGAAAACAGTCCAAATGATGATCAACATTATTTGTTTTTATTCTGCTTTAGCTTTGTAGTCACATGGTGAAGACTGATTGAGAGTATGTATCCAATTAAGGTTCGAATAAAACTGTCTCTCAGATTCAGAATCTATTATTAAAGTGGTTCTGTTACTTTCTTCTTAAAAACTTTGGAAGTCAGCATCCATTCCTGACTGGTTGGCATTCATAGCATTTCTGTATTTAAAAAATATATTTGTCATGGTCTTGACTAATATTTACTACTTTGGATGACTGATTACAGCACAAATTAATGTGTAGTAAATGATTAAATGATGTATGTCTTTGCCTGCAGGCCGCACTGCATCTACAGCAGCAGCTGCTGCTACCACTAACCTCCTGGAGGTGTTTGTGGATGGAAAGCCTGTCATGGTGGAGCCAGGAACCACTGTGTTGCAGGTAGCATGCACACTTTTTGGGGTACCGTACTAGTAGAGATGTGCAGAAGTCAGATGTCGTATGATCTCAAACTGAAGAAAATTTATTTTCTGAGAGCATTTATTCAGTGAGGAGAAAAATATCCTGGCACAACAGTTGGTACTCCTAAAAGAGGCTTTAAAATAAATAATACAAAATTAATAAATACCAAAAGCATTTTACTTTTTAAAAAAATTGACTTGTGTTTCTACCAACCTCCAACTAGTGATCCATGAATTGTTGTTTCCATGGGTTCTAAATGTAATCTGACAAAGACTCCTTGTATTTCTTAACATGGCTTTCTTCACCATTAAGTAATCCTAATTAATGTTTGGATATTGAGATTTATGATATCTTCTCACTGAATGTGATACTGGCTGTATTCTGTCGCAGGCATGTGAGAAGGCAGGGATGCAGATTCCCCGTTTCTGCTACCACGAACGCCTGTCAGTTGCTGGAAACTGTCGGATGTGTCTTGTGGAAATAGAGAAAGTTCCCAAGGTATTGTTTAGGCTACATAGATTGTCTGGTATTTGCCCGTTTTTACACAGTCACAGCTGCTTATATCCTCTGTTTACCTTCCAGCCTGTGGCAGCCTGTGCCATGCCTGTCATGAAAGGCTGGAATATCCTTACCGACTCTGACAAAACAAGGAAGGCGAGGTAAGATTAAATTGATTTATGAAAAATTGGCTTAATTCATGTAGACATTGATTGTTTGCAGCTAAACTCTGCAAAAACTTGGATCTGTGAAAATTGAGCTCTCTTTAATAGAAAAACCCCCCACAAGATTCTTCAATGATCTGTTAGAAGTTTACTTTTGGTAAATTTCACACAGAGAAGGTGTGATGGAGTTCCTACTGGCTAACCACCCTCTGGACTGTCCAATTTGTGATCAAGGAGGTGAATGTGATCTGCAGGTAATTTGTCTATCTTTATTTCCATCGCACTTTTCACAGTTTCACTTAAACTTCAGAACAAGGCATAGAGTTGTAGATGCCTCTAGCAACAAACAAAACTTGACATTATCCATTTACATTAACCCGCATCTTCTGATCCAATGGAGGGATCAGGAAGGTGCATACAGTTCTGTGAAAAAGTTATTGCCCCAAAATGTTTCAGATCAAACAAATATTAATGTTGAACAAGGATAATATAAAAAGCTGTTTTCAAGTGATTTCATTAATGAAGGGTAGAAGGCAAAAGGCAACACATCAGGTTTAGATGTGTGGGAATTCAAAGCAGATTCTAAAAGTCTTTGACCATCTAGATCAATTCTGGAGAGGTTCATTGTGAGGTTTTCCCACAAACCAGCCAGAGAGTATTGAGTAAAGTTCAAAATAAATTTTAATTTATTACAAAAAATCCACAAATAATTTCAAAATGATAAATCGGGCCCAAAACTGAGGTCAACATAACAAACTACAACTCAGGTAGCAACACAAAGAACTCAAACAAAAAACTGACCTCCCTAACAAGACATGAAGAAAACTTAAATAGTGGGTGATCAAACCACTACTAAACACAAAAGGGATAATTAAACACACACAAAAAACACAAACAAATACAAAGGAACATTACTAAATCTTTAAATTAAATAAAGATTAGAACTGAACTAACTTTCAAAAGAAAAAAACATTAAAGAAATAATAAAACTAAACTAAAAAAACCAAATTTCCCCCTCCCCTGGTGAGCAGATGGAATGGCCCACTGGGAAGTTGACCACCAGTGGGCATCAGCTGGAAATCATCTGTAGCTCCAGGGCAAACTGGTAAACTCAAACAAAAGAAATTTAGTGCATTTAACAAAAATTATAAAGAACTGACAAATAAAGTTAACTAAATGGGTGCACTACACATAGTTTACTAAATTGGTCAAATTAATGAAGATAAATTTAAAAATAAAAATCTAAACTATTCAAACAAATATATAAAGTAATATTAAAGAAGAACAGAAAATAATTACTTTTATTCTGTGACAGCAGGGACAGCTGTCACATTCATAAAGATGGATGCATGGATATATAAATAATTGCCTTGGGTTTATTTCAAATGTAATGAACACAGTGATGGAAAGAGAGAAAGGGGGGAAAAGTTTAAAGGGAAAGAAGAAGGTGGAGGGAGAGGAGAGAAGCAAGAATAGATAACATGCAGAGAGTGAGGAAGAGAACCATGGAATCTCAGCAATAACATATACCTATATATTAACAACACCGTATTAATTAATACATAATGTATTTCCTGGAAACCACAGCTCAACAAAGTCTATCTCTAAATCCAGACATGTGTATGTGTATGAGAGCGTGCTTGTGTATATAAGAATGTTCAATAATGGGTGTGAAGAGCCACACACCTGGCCCTGCAGGACCCAAAGTCCCCTAGAACCTGGGGGAAGTCTCCCAGGAGCCACACCAGAGAGAGCCTTGGAGGAACCACCCAGCAACCATGGCTGAGTGCTTGGTTTATATCTACACAAACCTGATCGTCTTGTTATTGACCAAGTATGAGTTGAAATAATCACTTGCTACACCACGTGGCAACAATTTATTTTAGTTGTAATAAGATGAAGCAAACACGCATGTCTTTCACTTTTTCATAGTACCTCATCTACTGGATCCGCGCTCCCTGCCCCGGGCGCGGTCCCGACGCAGGGGGCATGTATTCTGTCGGGCGGATTACGGGGAGATACCTATCTTGGTACGACACCGGCTTCAGCATAAGCAAGGGGGATTTCCGGTATATACTCTCGCGTGAATACTCAAATCTCGCGACTTCGGTTGTCCACAGAGCGACCCTCGTGTCCGAACCTGTGAGTGTAGAGCTTAGGAGCGCTAAATTGCTTGTGCAAAAATAAATAAATAAATAAATAAATAAATAAATACATTTCACATGTGATTAGGACACCTTCGGGGCGTAGGACACCCCGAAGGTGTCCTACGCGTGTTGCGTGCGTAGTTCGTTACTGGTGCAAAGGTAGTGCTCACCGCGATATTCAAAGGAGGAATTTGCATGTCTGCCATCATGGACCGTTTGGGAGAGCAAAGCAGCCGTAAAAGAAAAATGAAATTTGAAGCTTTGGCTTTGAAGGTGCTGGTGGAGGAGGCGTGTGCTCACAGTGCAGAACTGAAGCAGAAACATCTTAGCGTTGCCAGAAGAAACGCTATTTGGGAGGCCATCTGTGAGAAGGTGAATGCTGTGAGCCGAACCAGAAGATCTCCCGATGAAGTAAAAAGAAGATGGCAGGATTTTCGCAGGAGAACAAAAGAAAAACTTTCCCTCAATAAATCCACTTCTAGCAAATCAGTCGGGGCCCCAGTAGAAGAGATCCCCCTCACCATGACAGAGCAGACGCTTTTGGAAACATTTAGTGATGAGCAGATTGTTGGAATCCAGGGATGTGACTTGCTTGAGCATAAAATAGTAAACCAAGGTATGCCCATAATAACACGTTATTAAATCCACCATGAATGGATTAAATAAATCAAATGTTTTGTTTCCATCTTAATTTAAAAACTAAGTAAATTTCTTCATTCTTAGCTGGTGAATCTTTATCAGATGGCCGGAAGTCCCCGCCTTCCTCCGAGGTGCCTACATCAGAAAACTGCCCAGCAGAGCCCCGAAGGTGTCCTGACTGTGATGACGTTGATCTGGAGAGAAAGCAGGAACGAAATCAGACGGACTCGCTACAGGCCATTGCGCAGGAGATAAGAGCCGTGGCCAATGTTGCGCGCGCCTTCCGCCGTGACGCTCAGGCCATCGTGGCGCACACGAGGCAGCTGGTCAGTGCCGTGACTGGGCTCACAGTGGCTGTAAATGCCCTGGCAGGAGTTGGAGGCAGTGTTCCCAAACCTGCTCCGCCTGTGAATGAAGTGGTAGGAGAGCGCACGAGCGGACACCGGGGCAACCTCCGAAAACGCAAAGCCCCAAATAAGAACATTGTTTTGAAGAAAAGAAAGTAAGGACAGTCAATGCCACAATAATCAATTTCTCATCCAGATGTTTTTTTTCTTCTTTTTATTGGTTGTTCTAGGTGGCTGTTGAATTAACATTACGTTTATTTCCAATCATAACACAAAATTTTATGTCGTGATGGTGTTTTGTTTTTATTCATTGGCATAAATTATTCAAATAAACCTTAAATGGCACATGAGAAGGTTCTTTGGATCACTTTGGCGGGTGTCTATGAACCCGCTGCATTCCACGCGTTCTACATTTGGTACAGCATGCTGTATACAGATTACTCCAGTCCGTGCAGCTTTTTCCTCAGTTTTAGTCTACATGCGTGAGTCAACAGTAAGAGACTGGGTAAAGTTTCAAGATAAAAACCACTGATCAAAGGATAATCACAGCTCAAGGACTTTGCTGAAAGTTTGGTGTCGGCTGATTAGACAAAAGTGGGACCCTTTGGAAGGCTTGTGTCCTTATACATTTGTGTAATACAGTGTTTCAGAAAGAAATATAATGGTAAGATGTGTGTGTGTGTGTGTATGGGGGGTTGGGGGGGAGTGCAATTCTGCTTTGCTGCTTCAGAATCTCACCAATTTATGGCAGTAATGGCACCATAAATTGCAACTACTGCATTTTTATGGTGCAGTAAATGGAACCATAAATTGACAAAATGAATATTTTGTAGTGGCCTAATCAAAATCTGGACTCATATTTATTTTCAGATGCTTAAACAGGCCATCCATACTCAAATGGTTCATTTTATCTGAATTAAAACAATTCTGCAAGGAGTGGACTAAAACTTCTTTACAGTGATGTGAAAAAATCCATTATGAGTTATCGCAACTAGTAATAGTTATTGCTGCCAATTATGACAACTATTTATTAGCTATAGGGACCAATTACTTTTTCACATATGGTCAGGTTTGACTGCATGACTGTCTTCCTTATAAATGAAATAAGCATTACATTTTGTGTTTTCTAGGGTTATCTTTGTCTGATATTAAAATGTTATTGGAAATATATATTTGACTGGAAATATGCCAAGCAAATACAAATCTGTTATAAAAAGACAACCCAACCACTCCAGAGCAGACTAGTACAATTTAAAACTTTAATAACCATCTGAAGAACTTAAGAATCATCTGAAGTGTTTTATGCTCTTTCAACAAGCATAAGACACATGAGGCTAATGTAGTGACCTTAAAACCTTATCTTAATAAGTAAATCCAAGACACACTATTAAGTTAATATTTACCCAACTAGCTTATAAGAATTATTTCTTTGTTAGGACCAGTCCATGCAGTTTGGCAGCGACCGAAGCCGCTTCACAGAGGGCAAAAGAGCAGTGGAAGATAAAAATATTGGGCCCCTTATAAAAACCATCATGACCCGTTGTATCCAGTGCACTCGTTGTGTACGGTGAGTCAAACGATAAGTGAAATGGTAAACTGGGATGCTGTGACACGTGAAAAAGTAAGTACACCTACATGTTTTATGTTGTGTCTGCAGCTTTGCCAGTGAGATTGCAGGTGTGGAGGACCTCGGCACCACCGGCAGAGGCAACGACCTCCAGATTGGGACTTATGTAGAGAAGATGTTCATGTCGGAGTTATCTGGGAATATTATTGATATATGTCCAGTTGGAGCGCTGACGTCTAAGCCTTATGCTTTCACTGCTCGTCCTTGGGAGACCAGGTCCCTAGATAGTTCTCAACATGTTTGTTAACTTTTCACAAGCTCTGCTCTGTTTACATTGTCTTTTTTTTTTTTTTAATAGGAAGACTGAGTCTATTGATGTTCTGGATGCTGTGGGGAGTAACATAGTGGTGAGCACTCGTGGTGGAGAAGTGATGAGGATTTTACCCCGTCTTCATGAGGATATAAATGAGGAGTGGATCTCAGATAAAACCAGGTTAATTCCTCATCAAACTGGCTCTTCATATTAAAAAGAGATTAAAGTGCTCAAAAAAATTTGCATCATTCTTTAACTGTTTGTGACTTTTATATTTGACAGGTTTGCTTATGATGGTCTAAAGAGACAGAGGCTTACTCAGCCAATGGTGAAAAACAAATCTGGGGATTTGGTCCCGACATCATGGGAAGACGTTCTGACCCGAGTCGCTGGAGCGGTCAGTAATTGACAATTTTATGACTTCCTCCATTTTCAAAGAAGTGAAAAATAACATGATCTGTTTGGGCAGTTGCAAAGCGTCAAAGGAAGCGATATTGCCGGTGTTGTTGGAGGTCTGGTGGATGCAGAGGCTCTCGTTTCCCTGAAAGACTTGCTGAATCGGTTGAATAGTGATAACCTGTGCACTGAGGAAGAGTTTCCCATGGCTGGATCTGGGTAAGACCTCCATAAGATGAAAACAAGCGGAGGTCCATTGTGAAAATGTGCTGATGCTGTTCTTTCCTGTTCTTTTTTAGAACTGATCTGCGTTCCAAATATCTGCTTAACACGAGCATTGCTGGCATTGAAGAGGCTGACGTGCTCCTGCTTGTGGGCACCAACCCTCGTTATGAGGCGCCTCTCTTCAATGCACGCATCAGAAAAAGGTAAATAAACTCCTTACCTTTGACTATGTGATTGTAGAAAGTAAATAACTTTGATTTCATATGAAATTACCACAGCTGGCTTCACAATGAGCTGCATGTAGCCCTAGTGGGCAAGAAAGTGGACCTAAGTTACACTTATGATCATCTTGGAGAGTCTGCCAAGATCCTGAAAGAAATTTCTTCAGGAACTCACCCTTTCTCTCAGGTAACCCCTGGTTAGTTTACAGGTACAAATGTTCCCAAACCTTAGGTGTGTTGCTTCTGATTTTGTGGCCTTTGGCTGCTCTTGCAGGTTTTGGCTCAAGCTAAGCGCCCTGTTGTTGTAGTTGGCAGCAGCTGCCTGCAGAGAGAGGACGGGGCTGCGATAATGGCTGCTGTGTCAACTATTGCTAGGAATGCTGGGGTCAGCAGTGGCCTGCAGGGAACCTGGAAGATTCTCAATGTGCTTCATAGGTAGCAACCTCGGAGAACTCTAACTAACAGTATGATTCCCTTAGTAAATCTTTGTTGTCTTGCTTGTGTCATCAGGGTTGCTAGTCAAGTGGCAGCACTTGATCTGGGATACAAGCCAGGTGTTGACTCAATCTTGAAGAATCCGCCTAAAATTTTGTTCTTACTTGGGGCTGATGCCGGCTGCATCACTCGCCAAGATCTTGCAAAGGACAGCCTGATAATTTATCAGGGTAATCTTTCATTTTTTTTACTTCACACACCAGTAGAGGCCGTTGTACTGAACATACTTTTACATTGATTTATTGACTCTTAAGAGGTTTAGTTGGATTCCAGGTGAAACAGAGAAACAGTGAATTTTGTACTAGCAATGTGAGAACGTTTGAGGAATGCACATGCTTTTGTAATGAACTGCATATCAAGACAAAGTTGAGCTTACATTGTTATGACTTTCTGTATTATTACCTAGGTCACCATGGTGATGTGGGAGCTCCAGTAGCTGACATCATACTCCCTGGAGCTGCATACACAGAAAAATCAGCTACCTATGTGAACACAGAGGGCCGTGCCCAACAGACCAAAGTTGCTGTGACTCCTCCCGGCATGGCCAGGGAGGACTGGAGGATCATCAGAGCCATATCTGAGGTATAACAAAGAACCACATATAATGTCGTAAATAAAGATAATTACTGAGTATAATATATATTTCTTTCTTATTTAAAGCTTGCTGGAGTGACTCTACCTTATGACAGTCTGGATGAAGTACGTGACAGACTGGTTGAGGTTTCCCCTAATCTGGTTCGATACAATGAACTTGAGGAGGCCAACTATTTTAAGCAGGCTAATGAATTGTCCAAGGTCAGCAGTTATTTTCCTTTGTTTTGATTTTAGTCCATCACAGACAGGCATCAACAACGTCATCACTGTGTACTGGTGACGTTTCTTAGTTTACGTGACCCATTTCTATTTGATGCTGATGCCTTATCTGTTTCAGGGAGTGAACCAGGCTGTGCTCACTGAAAGCTTAGTTCCTCCACAGCTTACTGTGAAGGACTTTTACATGACAGGTGGGTCGTCATTACCATGGGGAGAGAGTAACATACATCAGTATTATATGGGTAATGCTATGTTATAAAGATTCATAAGTCATCTGATGATTGTGTTTTTTATTTCAGACCAAATTATTATTTATTATTATTATTTTTAGTAGTAGTAGTATTACAAATATTTCTTGATTGTTTAACATAAAGCACCCTGCTCTTCTCTTTTGTAAACATTACACCCCATTGTGTACATTATTTAAAAAGATATGTTTTTGTTTTATTTTTTTCTCACAGTAAATCAATCTAAACGTTCTCTGTTTAAGTCAGTGAGCTTTTATTTGCTTAATTCTAGAGTAATGAGAGAGAGAATTAGGATTTGTAAGCTTCTGATCAGAATATTTGAGGTATAGCGTACCTTTGATTGTAATTGAAGGCAACGCCTCAAATAACTGGTCCCATGTTTTATTTAGTCGATAAGAATTTGAAGGACTAAGTCAGGGTTTTGGAGTTATCACAAAGCGATGATGTTAGTCTTAAATTAAATTTCTGGGCAAACCTTATAAAATGTTCGAGCAAGGTCTGCTTCAAAGCGTTGGAAAATACTTTTAATTTTATTAATAACGGAGAAGATTTGAACAAATTCTCTAAGAGTTGCAGTAAGGTCAAATAAAGCAGACCAAATTACTAAACGTGTTTTAGCTGTTTTGCTAAATGCGTGTTTCAAAAAAAGATCCAGAATATGTTGTACTAAGAATATAAACAAAATCTGAATTTTAAGCTGTGGGTTTGAAATATGGCTTTCAATCATGTCAGCAATTTTGGATAGATTATTATTTTTTTTTTTCGAAATATGTCATTTCGTAGACACTTCAGAACTTCTCTTCCATGCCACAATGGCGGTTTAAAATTTGCTTTAAATTTGTACCTACAGATCCCATAAGCAGAGCTTCCCAGACCATGGCAAAATGTGTGAAAGCTGTCACAGAGGGAGCCCAAGCTGTGGAAGAGCCAGCCATTTGCTGAAGCACGACGAATAGCCGTCAAATGATACGCACAACTTCTACATTTGCACTTTTCTAGATGGATATTTTGTTTGCACATCACTGTAGATGTTCTGTAAAGGAATGTCATTGTTTAACCTTTTTGTGTGTAGAGTGAATAATATCACCTCATATTTGATAGCTATCCTGAAATCTATAAGATAAAAAAAATTGTGTATAGTTTAAGTGTATATTTTTTGAAAAGTGTTCAAAATAAACAGAAATTTCTTAGCAAGTCAAATATATATATGTATATATTTTTTCAAATTTATTTAAGCGTTTGCTTTTCAAAGTGGTGTACTGAAATGACACCTTCTAAAGTTTTCCAGATGGAGGGTCTGTATCTGATTGACACTGACTGGATGTGTCATTAGTGAACAGCGGGGCAACAGTGTGGCAGGAGGCTGATAACTCATTCATGTGGACGATTATAGTCGGGAGTCCAGGTGGATTTTTTAAAAAAAATCCTCTGTCGGACTAATTTGTTTCAGTGTCGAACACGAGTACTGCACTGTCCTTCATTCACACCATAATTTGTTTCATTCAGTTATAGTTGCACATTGCAGAGATTTTAACAAAGTTAAATTTCCAATATGGTAGGAGAGGTTGTTGTTGTTGAGCGGATTGTTGTCATGTCCCCGCAGTGCCTGTAGTGGTGCTGTGAGGAGTCTGCTGTGGATCCAACAAATGTCCTCAGCAGCCTACCTACGGCTTGTAATTTGCGCTGGGTAGCCTATATTTACATGGGTCCATATTTCAAGAAAATTGGAGCTCGATGAAGACCGCCGTTTCTATCCTACCTGGAATATCGATGCCCGAATAGCCTAGCTGATTCTAATAGACATTTCGGCCGTCTATCTGGAGCGAATATCGTGCACAGCCCAAACCCATTCAAGGTAAGCGGAGTCGTGAGCAGCCTCGGGATCGATTTCTGAGTGCGCCGCATTACACGGCCCTCAGTCGGACTGGCAATTTACTAGAGGCCGCCGTCTTTTCGAGGTTAATAGGCCTTTACTATTTAATACATTTGACCATTATTGTATAATAATGTTTAAATTCTGGTCGTCTAGAGTAGGCGTAAGATACATTATGTAAATGTTTTAGTTGCTTACAGCCTGCAAATGTTACATTATGTAATAACAGTGGCTATAACTCATCGATTTTTGCAGAGGCCTCGGCAGAACAGGCCGTAA